TATGAAGGCATAGTTACTCTAAATTTTTGAGTAGTTGAGTACAGAATTATTTTCCTTCAAGAGCGACGTCATATAATCTATATGGCATTTAAAAATTTTCTATTTGTTACTAATAAGCTTTCAAATTACAATTAATTGTTATCAAACTTTAAAAAGATAAAATAATTTATCTATTATATAGTAAAATTTTGAACTATTCTAGCACAATACCCAATTTTAGAATCAGAAAAACCTACTCTACAAACTTTTAATTTTTTCAAAATAATTAAAATTAGTTTGCTTAATATAATTTTTCAAAAGTTTAAGATTTAATCTTTAATTTTATAATACAATTCCTTTGCTTCAGCATGTCCTTTTTCAGCAGCCTGTTTCAACCATTTATTAAATTGTTTAGCATATTCTACGTTTGGAGCAGTTTCTTCTTTTGCAATTCCTTGTTTATTAATATATAAGAGACTCAGAATATATTCAGCTTCAGGATATAATCCCAAATCAGCTAATTTTAGGAGAATTGGAAATATTTCATCATCATCTTTTTTTTTGTTTTGTCTAAATTTTTCAGCACAAATCTTAAGAATATAGTTCTGTTGATCAGTGCTGCTCACATTGACAAGTTCAGAGGAAGTAGAGACACATGTGAAGTATTCATAATCCTCCATTTTGTTATTTTTCCTTTTAAAAGAACTCGAAAAATCTTAGAGTCTCCTTTATATTTTTTTTACAATTTTAATTATGACAACTCGTTTATTATCAATATTATATTCAAATAATTCAAATACAATTGACACACTTGTCATGTTCTTTAACATAAAAAACTTGAATTTTGTTTTGTAAATATTTAATTAAATCCTTAAACAGTACTATTCAAGTATAATAATTGAATTCAATTCAATTGATAATTTTATATTAACACTCTTCTCTGTTAATGTTTCTTCAATTAAACTTGATGTTAAGTACCGATGTTACTAAGTTAATTCAATATTTTTTGTCAAACTTAATAAAAAAGATTTATTTTCATACCTTCTTGTGAACTGTCATTGGTGTAGAAATGCTGTTCCGATCTTATGGAGCAAGGCAAATCCTTTAAGCAATAAAAAAATGATAAGAACATGCCTTTTGACTCTAAA